ATCTTCCGTATATCTTCAAAAATGATCCACATATTTTTGGGACTTTTTATAATACAATTTATCGGGTATCTTTCTGAATGTATTCACATATTTTAGAATACCCATTACACAGTATTTTACTGCACAAATAAACACATTTAGCAGAGCCTTGTCCTTTTCTAATGTTTTTCAGTCTTTTCCCACATATTTTCTGAATTATTTTTACACATATTTGGGGTATTTCTTTACACTTTTTTGACTTTTTATGATCACATTTGTCCCTTATATTTTTCTACTCATTATACCAATATGTTTTGAATATTTTTAGGCGTATTCCTGCCTCACCTCGGTGCTACAGGAGGCTCAGTGGGGGCGGCGCTCATTGGAACATAATTCTCATCCACATCCTCGTCTTCAGAGCCGAGAGGCACCAGGCCTTTATTCATCTGAGGGACAGATAACATGATTACATATAAAATAATGACAACAGAACTCATATTTGATTTCGTTCTGGAGGTTTCCACTCACGAAGTAGCTGTTGAAGCTCTCGCTGAACTCGAACATGCTCGCTCTGTCCGACAGAGACCCAGAGATCAGGTCTGAAACACAGAAAACAGGTCAATATTTAGGGGAAAACACCCTTTATTTATTTACCAAAATACCAAATAATTCCTATAAATGTTGCATGATTAAAAAGGCAAAATGATTTCTACCATTCATGCATTTAAAATATCATTATCAGCTGAATTTGTGCAACTTTAAGACAAGAGGAAGGTCAGGAAACTGAGGAAAGGTGTGTTTTTAAGGCTGATAGAAACTGTAGGGGGTTAAAGGTCTGGTTTGATTACATTAATTAATTAAGATTATTTAATTATGCAAACAGGAACAGAGGGTTTATTGGAACAAACACTGCAAGTTCTGCACAATAAGCCTCTTGTTTGGTGCCAGGTTTAAACTATTTAGGGTCAGAGGGACACAGATTCTGATTCAGATTGATCATTAATCATTTAATACAAAGCTCTGAAACAAGTGTGATATTTGTTAGAGCTAAAAACAACATACAGGGTAGGTTTAATGTTTTTAAAGGTCACCTATCATGCTATTTTCAGGCATTAGCATAGGTCTCAGATATATAAAAATATATAAAAAACATGTCTATGAAGTGTTTTGCTCAAAATCGCGAACAAATCAACCATTCTAGCCATGCCTCAGATCCCTCTATTTCACTTCCTGTTTCAAAAGTGCTGATTTGGCATATAAAGCTTCTTTTTTTTTAAAAATTGATAAAAAAAGAGGGGCGGAGCTTATGCCTGCTCATACGGGAGATTCTACCAGCAGATACTGCCGTGATGAAACGCCATATCATGGATTATCAAGGATTATCTCTGAAACAGTATGGAGCTCAAAGGCTTTCTCTCTTGCCGGTTATACCACAAGGTGAGTTCCTTTTTACTTCCTGCTTCTTCACACACATGCTCTCCAGTACAGGTTAGCTCTGAGTGTTAGCGATGCTAATGTAAACACCGACCATATTACGTCCAAAACAGTCGGGCATTGTTTCTGATAGCAACGTTTCTGATAGGGCCGTGGGTCCACATTTCAGATATTACGTCATATCGGACGCAAATTTGGATCAGCTCCGTTGTTCCCCCGTTTTTAGAGATTTGGGTACGGAGGAAAAGAGAGAGGGTTTTATTTTCTGACGCTGCGTGAGTTCCCCGACACACCGGGCACACATCTTTATGTATAACAGACATCAAAAAGTGCACTTTGCATGATAGGTCCCCTTTAAGACTTTTTAATGCACACAAAATGCATCCTACACATTCCAGTATTCATGCCGATGCTTGAAAACCCCCCGAAATATAAAATGAAATAAACTTTATTAATATATTTTCAAACACAGGAAGTTTAATTTGTGTTAAAAATATCTGGGATCATGTTCCGACTCAACTCAATATATAACGTAGGTTAAGTGTTTCTAGACTTTTTAATTTGTAAATAATGTATATTATTCTATTAGACATTTATGCTGATGCTTGTGTTTTTTATTTAACTGTTTTAGAGAAAACTGCAAACAAACATTTTCTATAATTTTGGGGAACGTAAGAGGTTTGGCTAAGGGGGATCCTTCCGCCTTAACCTTTTGTTTGTAAAGATGTGTATCTGCATGTTTGTGTCGTCGTTTTTATGATTATTTTCCAGAACTAATCATATTTATAACAAACATATTTTCTCAAATTATTCAAATATTTTTGGGATTATTTTTTTTAATATATTTTTTGCGATATTTTTCTGAATTTATTCAAATATTCTATGACATTTTTTACGTCAATGAATCACTCAGACCTTTTTCAAATGTGACCAGAAATAGATTTCATATTTTTGGGAAAAACATTTTTGTATGTTTTTTCAGATTTTTCCAAATACATTTATTTTTTACTCTTATTATTTTCCAGAAATTATCAACATATTTTTGGGAAATGTTTTATGTGGTAATTTTCTGAATTTATTCAAATATGAAATTCCTTTACGTTAATTAAATATGACTCCTCTCCTCTCACCTGTGTGATCAGTGATGGTGTTGCTCCTCGTCTCCTCTCCTCCTCCCTCCCTCCCTTCCTCCTCTCCTCCTTCCTCCCTCCTCCCCCTCTCTCTGGGTAGTGTTGCTCTCCCTCTCCCCCAAGATGAGCTCTCTTCCTGGGCCGTGGCGCTCTGAGGTTTTGGGGGTCGTGGAGGGGGAGTCGGGGTCAAAGAGTCAACGTTAGGGGAGGAAAAAGAGGGGAGACGAGGAATCTGATACCCACTATAGGAGAGAGTTTGGGGGAGAAAGAGGGAGTCACAGAGGGGGAGGATATCCACGGGTCGCAGGAGGAGATCCAGAGAGTGTTTCCTCGGGTGAGGAGACGGGTGACAGCGAAGCTTTCGTCTCTGGAGCTCAGAGCTCACGAAGGGGGAGGAAGAGGAAGAGGAAGAGGGAGAGGAGGAGGAAGGGGGGAGGCCGTTAGCAAGCAGGGAGGGAGAGGAGGAAGAGGAGGAGGAGGAGGAAGGGGGAAGGAAGTCGTCGGGTTCGAGAGACATGGAGGAACCCAGAGGAGGCCTGAAGACAAAGAGAGGGTTATTATCGTCTTCCAAAACATCCCAAATATCTTGATTCCTTTCCTTCATCTTGTCTTTGATCCTCCTTTCTTTCCTTACTTAGTTCTACAGACCATCTTTCTCTTTGTTGATTCTCACTCTCCTTCCTTCCTTCATTTTTCCTTTAATTTCTCCTTTCTCTCCTTCCTTCTTCCTACGGACCTCCTTTATCTTGTCTCCTTTCTTTCCTTACCTATACAGACCATCTTTCCTTTTATCAATCCTCACGTTCCTTCCTTCATCTTTCCTTTCTCTCCTTCCTTTTTCCTACGGACCAGCTTTCCTTTTATGCATCCTTGCTTTCCAACCTTGCTTCCTTCCTTCTTCCTATCCATCCTCCCTTTCCTTCCTTCATCTTATCTTAAACCTTTCCTTCCATTCCTTCTTCTTTCCTTCTTCTTATCCATCACTGTGTGTGTGTGTGTGTGTGTGTGTGTGTGTGTGTGTGTGTGTGTGTGTGTGTGTGTGTGTGTGTGTGTGTGTGTGTGTGTGTGTGTGTGTGTGTGTGTGTCTGAGAGTCTGTCTCTCTGTGTGTGTGTGTGTGTGTGTGTGTGTGTGTGTGTGTGTGTGTGTGTGTGTGTGTGTGTGTGTGTGTGTGTGTGTGTGTGTGTGTGTGTGTGTGTGTGTGTGTAGGGCGGCACTAGCCAGCATCCAGCCACATGTGTGTGTGTGTGTGTGTGTGTGTGTGTGTGTGTGTGTGTGTGTGTGTGTGTGTGTGTGTGTGTGTGTGTGTGTGTGTGTGTGTGTGTGTACCTGGTGTGACACTGTGATAACCACTGATATTCTTCTTCTTTGTTTCCGTCATGCTGCAAGTTCCTCACATTCACCGGGTCGTAGGGGGGCGGGACTAAACGCGTTACCGAGGTTACACCGGTGACGTTGCGGAGGGGCGGAGTCATGGCAGTGATGGAGGCGGAGCCAGAGGCGGCGGGTCTTTCTGGGACTGTGGGGAGGAAAAGTTATATGCAGTATGACACATGACCCACTTATTACACGGCCAGATACTAAACAAACTAACGACTCGACTCCCAATATTAATTGAAATTACTTTATTGACTTAAAAATTATCTTATTTATTCCGCAAAGAAAAAAAAGCTCTGTTCCACGGCGCACCAACGGCTGGAACCGAGACAACAACTTTACGGCAGCACTGATCAAGGTTCAAGTCTGTTTACAGTTTCTGATCCACGAACAAGTCCTTAAACACTACACAGCCCACATGTTCCGAATTGACCAATCAGAATCGAGTATTCAACTAAGCCGTG